CAAATTAATTACTCATTCATGCATCTATATTATCAAATATTGTTAGGTTATCATGTCAAATATTGTTTTCTACCGCTATCCTTATATCTGTTTATCTCAAAACAAAATTTGCTACAACTACTTAGTAAGTGTTCTTCCATGGGCACAACACACTATGACAAAAGGTACTAAAATTTAATTGTCTTCCTCCATGGGAATCTCAAAGCGACAAATAGGGCAATAATGGCTCGTTTCTAACCACTTGGTGATACACTCTCCATGAAACATATGAGAACAAGGCATGCTAACTATCTCATCATGATCTCCTTCCTTCTTCACAAGCTCTTCTAGACACATCATACATTCGTTGCCTTTGGTATTTTCTTCATCAATCTCCATCTTCTTTAATAACAATTGCATAGATGACTCACTAGCTGGCACCATACCATATTCTGATGATAAATCTTCTCCCGGAAACGAAATCCTTTTCTCAATAACATCACGGGATATCAATTTTACATCCACAGATAACTCCAACACTCCGCGATGACCCTTGTTAGACTCAACAATATTACGCACCTGACTCATTATATTTCCCACTAAAGAGTCACGCATATCTTGAAACTCTAATTTCCAATTCCCAAACAGTTGTGAAATTGCTAAGTGAAAATTGTCGTAGGACAAGATAACTGAAGAGGTGAGAAAGACATGTTTCAATATTGTTTCCTCTCTTACTCCTATACGGTAAAGTTGTGGTTCTTGCTCTAAATTATTTGAATACCAAATATCATGTCGAATGCCACTACAAAAAAAATAGTGTTTAGCGACGGATATAAGCGACGAATTAATTTCCGTCACTATATAACAATGGATTAGCAATGAAGTAGCCATTTCGTTGCAAAATTTACAAATAATTTTTTGAGTTATAATATAGCGACGGATTGGCGACGGATTATGTTTTTCGTTGCTAAAAAATAGCGGGAAACTTTGGCGCCCTAATTTTCGCTACGGATTTTGCAACAAAGTAGGTGTTACAAATTTATTAATATTCCGCGACGGAATTAGTGACGAAATAGCGTTGCTAGAATTATAAATATATTTTTATGGAATTTAATTTATGTAGTGACGGAAATATCCGTCGCTAAAATTTAATGTAAATAATTATATTTATTTAGTAGCAACGGATGTCATAATCCGTCGCTAAGTTTGTTGCAATTTTTTTAACCAAGTGATCAGTCCATAGAAAACACAAAAGGAACAAAAATTACTATCCGTAAAAATAGGGTTTTCTCTTAGTGAAAGCTCCCATCTAGCAGAAGCTCAGGTGAAAGCTCTGTATCAGGTAAAATTTCTCTTAGTGAAAGCTCTGGTCTCCTTCTCCTTTCGATTTCTCCCGTCTCAGGTGAAATGGCTCCCGTCTCAGGTGAAAGGTGAAGTTGCTCTTGTCTCCTTCATCCTCAGGCGAAAGGTGAAAATTTGCTCCTGTCTCCTTCATCCTCAGGTGAAAGGTTAGCTTCTGCCTTTGGTAATTTCTCTTTTTTCATCTGTTCGGTGAGCTTCTAGTGCGATGAAGAGGAGGGCGTTAAGTTCTATTTGGTGAAAAACAACTAGGGAACGGGATGTGGTTATCAGGGATATGACAAAATTAAACGTAGTGCACTCGTTTGCTTCTACTTTGCTCTAATTTCTGATTGTGAATATTTTTCAAAATTTTTGTAGTCTCTAACCTCTCTTGCTTCTTCTCTCTTGCTTCTGCTTTGCTCGACGAAATTCTTGAAATCTTATTTTGGTGGTGAAGTAGTCTCCAAGCTGGTCACTGTCTGGTCGCTGCCAAGAGAAATTTTGGTGGTGAAGTAGTCTCCAAGCTGGTCACTGTCTGGTCGCTGCCCAGAGAAAGGTAACGTTTCCTTCATAATCTTCTCCTCGTCTTCTTCTATTTCTGATATGTCTCGCTACTCTGTTGTTGTGTCACTGTTGTTTGTAGATGAGAACTGATGACTTCAATTTGCTATATATGTGTTCTTAATGGATTTCCTTGATTCATATTAATGTGGAAGTTGGGTTTTGTCGTTTAGTATTTAGTATTGTCGCTTATTTGTTCCTTTGTTTGAAACCTTTTTGGGTGACTCCTCTTCGATATGTCGTAGAATCTCTGTTCTTCGTTTTCATTGTCTGTAAGCCCAGGTTTTACATTCAGTTTTGCTACTGTTAATGATGCTTTCTTTTCAAAATAAGGATAGAATCTTGAAGCTAACTAAGGTGAAAATTGTTTGTGTTTTTGTTTTGTTGATGTAGTAGCTAGTTTTCAAATTCCCTTATCATTCTACGAATCGAATTTATGTTTCCATATCCCTAAATTTTAGTCAAAAATGCCCATTGTTTGTAATTAAGCTTATAAGGTGTGAAGTCATGTTACTGTCCAGATTGTAGTTTGCTTTCAAAGTCATTGCCTATTTCTCTTTTCTGATCATCTCGGCATGTTGTTCTGCTTGTATTTTTAATCTTTTTAAGTCCTTGAAGTTTGGCCTTGTTAAAAGGTTTGATATTGGTATAAGTATGTGTATGTTCTTGTTGAGTTAAATAAAGTGTCACAGGTCAATCTTTGTTGGCCTTATTGTTCAATTAATAAAAGATTAGATGTAAACAATTAGGAAGTCACTGAATTTTGTTTCAGCAGTTATTAAAGTAGTATATGTTTGCTTTTGTTTTATTTGATACCTACTAGTTATCCTTTCGTTCCTTAAACTTGTCTCTTGTTTATTTATTATACTTAATAGCTACTAAGCTATTAAGTATACAATAGAGTAACTTTTTTTTAGATTTGGCGAAATAGCTTGAGCATTTTAGCTTCTGATTTAGTGAGCATTAATTTAGCTTCTTCTTTTTCTATCTTTTATTTCCAAGTTTTATAATTACTATATATAGGTAGTTCTAGGTGTACATGTTTATAATATGCACCATTTGTTTAGAGGCAACTATCTAACTATAGCTTCTGCACATACTCTTCAACTTGGTATCCATCTTTACATCCTTATATTTTATTTGATTAGTTAACTTCTTAGTTTTTCATTTGAACAAACTAGGTATATTTGATTTTTAATATACTTTTTTCATTGTTGCATCAGTTTAGCATTTTAGATGTATGAAATTCTGTCTGCTTTCATTTGATAATACAACTACTAATATTCTTGTGCAATTCTCATGGGACAAGTCTTTCACCCTGCAAGACCTTGCTTCTCTACTTTGTGGTAATTTCTCTTTTTTTCATATATTATCTTTGGTAGATAGGAGTTTCCTTTTAGCTTTTGAAAATGTTACTATTATTTTCTGAAACTGTTTGTTTTATTTGTGTGTTTAAATACGTTTTATGCTATAAAAATAACCTCTAAATGATTTGATTCAATGAAATCAGGAAGGATTTTGTGTCTTACCTAACACGCTTGAGTTGGTTAGTGTTGTATGGTTCATTTGTAGAACTTAATTTAGTTTGAGTATTTTGGTGTTGAATATACTGATTTAGGTGATTTGGGGTTTAAAATTGCAGTTTTGATTGAATTTTCCTCTGCCTCAACTTTCCGTCTCCTTCATCTATTTCCTCTAATTTGCCTTTGTTTTGAAGGTATACCATACGGTGTATGTGAAGCTCGAAGAAAGACATAGGCATCCGGTAAGTGTTCTATTTCCCCTTCTTCTTCTTCTTTCCACTGTCATAAAAAGATTTTCTGTTGAAGTTAGAAAAGGAAAATGTTTCTTCAACCATCTCATATCAGTGTTGGAAGAAAAGGAAATGACATGATGAACAAAAACCAGTACAAATAAAAAGAAAAGAGAAAAAAGTAAAGAACAAAAAAAAAATTAGTAAAAAGCTTCCACCTGAAAGGAACCAGTGATGTTCTTATAGCTTGGCTATCTTATTTGTCTTGATTCATTCTCTTCTATCACTCATTATTCTTTCATATCTTCTTTCTTACTTCCATTTTCATGTTCATAATTTTCACATCAACAACACTAGTATCATTTCCTTGATTTACAAAGTCAACAGTTTGAGTACAACTATTCAATTGTTCCATTGTGATTTCTTTTCATTCTGGAAGAACAAGTTTTTACTGTTATTTCTTTTGAGAAATATCTATAGTTTTATACGACTAGTTAGACTGATGACTAGTGGTTCTAATCAGGCATGGTGAAGTTTATATTTTTTTAGACGTCTTGAGTTCTATTATTTATTTTCTGATTTAGGTTTGCCAGGTCTTTGTTAATGTTCTTCTATTTTCTCTCATTTGATTAAAGGTTCTCAATGTTGGTGCTCTAAGATATAGGTAGTCATTTGACGCTTTGAGCTCAACTAGTTACTAATTTGATCGAAAAAGCTGGTTCAAAGATGCCTAATTTCAAATCCCTTGAGCTTCTGCTAGAGCTTTAAGTCCTTCTGCTTCTTTCATCTTTACATATAAATCCCCATCTATGATCTGCTAACTTCTGTAGAAATCAGCCTTTGCAGTTGCTTTTTGTGCCTTTGCTTCTTTCTCCTTTTCGTAGTGAAATGCTTCAGCTTCTTTTTGTTTCTTGTAGAGCTCTCAATTTGCTTCTTGCACCTTTTAGACCAATGAGGCATTAGAAACTTCAAAGTTAGGATTTTTTTTGTAAGTTTTAAGTTTTATGTAAAAAGTAACCTAATAATAATTGTGTCTAATCTACTTTCATGTTAAATTACACTGATAGTGTGAATTATTGTTGATTCTCGCATAATCAAAGATGTTACTTTCTCCATTCCAGTTCATG